AATGGAATTTTGGTCTGTAGCACCTACACCAAACACCCTGTATATTTAAAAATTATATCAAAATATAGCTCTCATGAACTCCTAAAACTTTTGTATGAAACATTTTTGTGTATCTCCTTCAACAAACCAGATATTGCCTGTCACATAAAATGTGGGACACCTGGTATATTGTCATGTTTGAAAGTGGAAAGGGGGGACCTTTATTTTCGAACTGTATATATTTGAAAACAATCTAACTACATATATATCTGTTGCTGTTGGTTCTCAAATTTAAAAAATGATTTCAGTTCAACTATACCTGTTACCTGTTGTGGAAGTGAAACTAATTTTGGAAATATTTGCCGCAGCCAAATATATAAAAGTATAATAAGAAGTACTTTTATAATTAAAAACAACTGAATTATCATTCTGATAGGAAGATAACTCTTAAATTTTATTCTAGGTGAAATAACATTGACTGTGGGGTAATGAAATATCCAAAAGAAGGGTGACTTTTTCATAATATATTGCATATTGCTATTCTACGAATGAAAAAAACATACTGATTCAAAGTCTCTATCTCAACCAATCTATCTTATTCGATTACCAATAGAGGAAGAGTTTCAATAAACAATAGGTCGATAGGAACCACGACACATCCGCAAACTATTACCTAATACCGTAATTTCTCGGTTGGTATAAACTGCTCTTTTAAGTCTTCGTCGTTTTTCCGGAAATAGTTTCATCTAATATTCTTAACGTTATTTCATTGTTCAAAGTATGTCACCTCGTATTATCATTACAATACACACCATTGTTGGTTTTGTTCAACTCCTGCAATTTTTTTCGTAACATACTATCTCTTCATTTGCGAAATTGGTTCGTTGATTTTGTGTTCCCAATTTTTCGAAATCGAAAATCAATTTCAGATATTCTTTCACATTTCTGAATAATGCCAAATTGAAATTTGTTCATTCAAGAAAGTAAAATTCGAAAACTACTAATGAAGTTTGAACATCCAATTGAGTCTCAATCATGAATAACCATGAATATAGCCCTATCAGGCAAGCAAGGCGAATCCAGCAGAATTGCAAAAAATATATATCAATTTGTAGCTAATTAGTTGCTAATTATTTACCAAAATAACGATTTTGTTGCTCGTGCCTATCCTTAGAAATCGCAAATAATACTATCGTGATATCAAGGTAGCAAGGTGACTCAATAAATTATATACTTTCCCTTTGATTTTTACAGAATATTTAGTTGCTATTTAGTTGCTAAACCTTGAATATAGCGAAAAAGACAGCCCAAGTGTGAAAAAAGAGTTTCAAAAACTTGAAGCTACTTTGTGTTCACATTTTGAAAGTTTCCAAAAATCAGCCAACTATTTTTTTTCTGATTCAGACTGAACCTAACTTTCCTAAAATAGTGAACATATATGTAGAAAATATAGTTAAATACATCTGGTTTGTTATTTCTGTTATGAGGTCATATCCTTCTTGAACACTTGAAAAGCATACGTTCATAGGAAGTGCTGAAGCAGAGACAACCTTCAGTCATTGAACATAAAACCTGAGAGTTTTGTCTGTCTTCACATGAAAGTAAACCGTTTTTTATAGGACAGGTTATATTTGTTTGGCAAATCCTAAAGCGATGGCAATGACAGATTCTGGTCCGATGAAGCTGCTTGCAGCACCCTCCTTTGCAAAGCAGTCTTTCTTCCAGGCCAGTATGGCCAGGAATCCGGACCAGAGACGATCTGTAAAATCTTCCTATCGAAGAGATAATGTTTCGGGCAAGAAAATCATCATTATTTTCAATAAATCCGTGAACGAATTATCACAGATGTTTCTTCACAGATCCTCAACCCACGATCATTCGTGTAGATAACCATGTTATTATAAATAAATCGTTAACTCCTGAATGATTCGTGTTGAAATCGCGATATAAAATGTTGAAAGAAATTCCTTTCGTTCAGGAACTTTTTCTATGTTATTTTAACGAAGTAAATCACATGAAAATATTTTGATGATATGAAATGATTTTTCAGGCTCGCAAATCGGTTTCAGATAATAAATGTTTCAAACTTTCTACTGGAATTCAGAATAGTTTAAAAATGTATAATAATTTTTTCAATACGCGTTTGAGAACCTAGAAATTTATTGAAAGATGTCTGACCTATAAATTAATGAAATCAATAATCTGAATGATATGCAGATTACTTCAAATTCATACTTCCTAACTATATCTTCATTTTGCAAATATATTCAAAAATTTACGGTTCAATGAAGAACTAGTTATCAATTTTTTCGGAACAATTGAAGATTCAAAAAAATTCAAGCGTCACAAACAAAACTATATGTCGAACTGTAAACAGAAAGCATCATTAATTTGTATCATTTTGAATACTTTCGAACTCTTTTTTGGTTTTTGGTCTTTTCGAAAAGACATTTATTCATAAGTCAAACAATTCAAGTAACTTTTCACAGTTCGTTTCTTTATCTTCTTATGTATGAAGAAAAGATGATTGAGAAACACCGCATTATTTTAGATTTTGAAAAGAAATACTTACATCCAATATCATCGAAGAATCTCGTCTTCTGCGGATAGTATAGAAGCTTCTTGTCATATAAATTTTTCTCGGTATCTGAAAAAATAATGAACATCGATCACTTAGCATCAAAGGGTGAAAGGAATATATATCTTCAGGTAATGAATGTATATTACTATTCATTTATGAACCATTAGCAACCTCTTCATATCGATAACAGTCATTAATATACTTTAATTTCGAAATAATGAAGTGGCGCCAGTTGTTACAGATGAAAAATTCCAATAATATGTGTATCACACTAAAAAGGAGTTCAAAATCTCTACCTCGAAAATATCAAAAAATACCATGTGAAACAATTTTAGAAGAGGAAGGAGTAGTTTATAATTTGAGAATCCTACTCAAAAATTCTTTTGGAGTGGAAGAACCTGTAACCCTCATTTTGGGAGTGAGCTGCAGAAGGAAAATACTTTTTTCGTGAGTGATGATGCCCACATGCCCTAATTAAAAGTGGTTATCGACCCAAGTCAACGATTGGAGTATCTAGCTAGACCATACCGGATATATGTTATGGTCTAGGCAACCTTCCAGAATATCCAGTTGTGCATTCAAAAACAAAACATTCGCTGATTTTCCTGCTTCTACTTGGGAATCGCTCAACAGGTCCATTTTTTCCAGAAACTTGTTACGTGTAGTGATTTATATAGGTTCTTCATCATATTGTTCTGGACATAATAAGGGTTTCACAAACTACACCTAAACGATTTGATCTCCACAAACTTTATTGAAAAAATATATCACAGCATGTTTCGCTAAACATTAGCTTTTTCAAGTAATTATTAATCACTTGAAAAAGCTAATGTTTAGTGATTAATAATCACTTGAAAAAGCTAAATTTTAGCGAAACATGTGATATATTTTTTCAATAAAGTTTGTGGAGATCAAATCGTTTAGGTGTAGTTTGTGAAATTACTATGGATCTTCATCAAGTAACGGCCGAATCAATCAGAAAAATAATAAGGGTTATCCTCAAATTACTAACGTACTTACCTTCTATGATTTCGTGCCCCACATTCCCACGAAATTCGACGAGCTATCTCTGTCCCTTTTCTACATATCTTTTAGCTGAGAATTTTTTCAATATTCATTTTCATTTTCAAATCTTAATCTCTTCAATATATAATATTATGGAATGTATATTGTTCTTGTGTACTCTAAATGTACATTGTCCAGTGAGTATAATCTTCCTGGGCCAATTTTTGCTCTGCTGATAAAATTGTTTACTTCTATTCTTTTTTATCCCTTATTCTATTCCAATTGTTTCCTATCTACACATTTTCTGATGTGGTCTCGTTTCGATACCCTCCAGATTGTTCAATGACGTTATTGATCCTTGTCTAGGTTTTCCTTTGCCGTCTTCAACATCACTCTTGGATTCTTCAATGACCGAAGGGCAATCTACCTTTTTTTCAAAAACAACACACAAGCACCACAGGGAAATCCTTGAGGTGCTCTTAGAGCGGTGCCTGAGCAAAAGAAGTGATTCACATCAGATTTGAATCGCTAGAGATTAGATCCATTTGGAAAAACGTTCTCAGGAAGTTCATTCCAAGCAGTTCTCCAGATGAAAGAGTTCTTAAACAGCGGAGTATGAGGTTTTTGTATCTGTGTCTGTAGAGTAGTGAGGGTGGGTATAAGCCCACGCACTTAGGCCACATGTGACCCATTATACATCCTCCCGAGGAGTTGTCCTCCTAGGTCATCGTCCATCCTGTCCTTTCCAGGAAGATGGACAGGTCGCTGGGAGACATCTCGTTTATATCGGCAGGTATAGGGCAAGACTCGCCGACTCTCTTATTGACGATAACTCCGGGCACTCGCATAGGACATGCCTGACAGTCTCATCATTCTGTTCACACATCCTGCATAGAGGTGTGTCCACTAGCCCTATATTATGGAGGTGTTTCCTTAGTTGACAGTGGCCAGTCAGAAATCCTACTGTAAGGCGTAGATTTTTCCTGGTCATTGACAGATATTTCTTCGGCGCTAGCTTCCCAGGGTCGCCTAAGGTTATCCTGGCAAGATTGCATCCTTTGATTCCATTCCATCTCTTTAAGGATTGAGCATGGGTGTAACATTCGACTAGTTTCGCAATTGTCGAAGTCATCAGGCCGTGGGTGCCACTGGGTCCTGAAATTCCCAGTTCAGCCGCTTCCTTGGCAAAAGAGTCGGCATCTTTACTCCTGTCGTACCCTTCAACCCACCTCAGGATGATGTTATTATCTACCGAGGCTAAATCTTGGTGGCACTCTAGTACTAGCCCTGAGGTAACACGCTGTCTGTTCAAGGCTAATAGGTGCTTGTCTGCTATCAGTGCAGATTGTTATGTTTTTGCCAGAAATTCCTTTCTTGGTTATTTCTTTTGTGGCGATTGAGATACCAGCCAGTTCTGTTTGGACCACGCTGTTATGTCTTCCCATTCCCCACTTTAAGCTTAGTGACCTGGAGTACACTACACATCCTGAGCCTTCTGTGGTTTTTGATCCGTCTGTATAAATCCGTATTGCATTTGTAGCATTTGACTCTGTGTTCTGCTTAATTTGTATTTTGTAAGGTTTATTAAACACAAACTTGGGTTCAATTGCATCACTTGTTGCCTGCAGCAGAGGTTGCGCAGTAAGCGCTTCCCGCCATAGGCCCAGCCTCAATTGACCCACTCCTACTTCGAGGTTCACATCAGCCGTGCACAATCGTACCATGGCCATTAACGCAATCTCCTCAACGTACAGATCCAGAGGGGTCAGACCAGTGATTAATTCCATTGCCGCGGTTGGTGTTGTTCTCATGGCTCCTGTGATGTTCAAACAAGCCAGTCGCTGTATTTGATATAATTTTTGGATGGCCGTTGCTTGTAGAACTTTCGGTCCCCATGCAATGGCTCCATACGTTAACATAGGTCTTATTATTGCAGTGTAGATCCAGGTGACCACACGGGGTGAAAGACCACATGCGCGTCCCACTGTCCTTCGACATTGCTCATAAGCCACGTATGCTCTTTTTGCTCAACTCTGTAGATGAGAGTTCCATGTTAGCTTCTTGTCGAGGATAGTACCAAGGTACTACCAAGGTACCAAGTTTAGTTTGCTTTTGAAGATTTCGGGAGGTTTTAAGCTCGTTAAACTCCTTTTCCTGGTGAAAAGGACCATCTCAGTCTTCTTGGGATTGATCGACAGTGAGTGTTCCTTACACCATGTTTCTATTAATTTGAGCCCATTCTGCGTTCTATCGCACAGTGTGTTTACAAATTTGCCGGTATGCAAGATAACTTTGTCATCTGCGTATGCAATTGTGTAGAATCCATTTTTGTTAAGGTGATTAATTAGGGTGTCCAGAACTATGTTCCAGAGAAGGGGTGATAAGACCCCTCCCTGTGAATATCACCTCAAGACCAGTCCTTTCACTGTTGTGTCTTCTACATTAATACTCATTGCTCTACTAGAGAGCATCTGGAGTATCCATTCTTCTACTACCAGGGGTACATTCCTGGAGTGTAGTTGCTGGGTAATTGTTGGAAAGGTTGTTTTATCAAACGCTCCCTCAATATCTATGAATATACCCAGGGTGGATTCTTTGTTGTCAATGAGTATGAGGTTTACTGAGTTGAACTTTAAAACGATGAGCAGTACAGTCCGTCGCGTATTTCTGATGTGTACTGCTCGTAGTGGAATCAAATGTGCTTAGTCACTTGAACACTTCCCGTGAAAGTATCTATAGAAGGGAGGCAAATCTGCAACCTTTTCCCGATGTTTCAGGCTATCTGGATGGAATCCAGCAGCTTCAGGGTATGTTTGGTGGCGGAGCTCCATACAGGAGAACAATACTCCAAAGAAGGTCTGATCTGAGCTTTATAAAGCATCAAAAGTTGCTGAGGTGTGTACAGTTTTCTGGTTTTGAACAGTTTTCCAAGATTTTGAGAAGCGGTCTTTGCAATTCCAGCCACATATGCCAAGCCATATTTATGTCCATTTTAATGAATTTAGGTAACCAGTTTCAATGAATTAACCAGGTTCAATTCATTGAACCTGGTTACTTCCATCCCTATTCAAAATTACTTCCAGCATGTTTTCGAAAATGTGCTCTTTTGAAAAGTTGCTGTAACTCCTTTCCTGTCGAAAATTTATTGTTCCTATGAAAACATTCACGAAGCACTTTTTCACGTAGAAGCCTACCTGAGCCTACTTGATCAAAGTGTGCATTTCGAAGTCTACATGAAAAAACCTAAAAGCTCTGTATTTCAAAGATGACTCTAGAAAAACATCAAGTGCTACATTTTTGAAAAGGAAATTTTAAACTCTATTGAAATATGCAAGAATACACAGGGTATCTCACTGAGAAAAATAGTTTTCCATCAGTAACTATTGATCTCATTCGAAAATAATGAGTTTTTCACACGGTTATATTCTACGTAAAAAATGCTCTTGAAATGTTTTCATAGAAACAAGTAATTTTTGACAGGATGAAACTCAGAAACGATGATGATAGATATCGATATGCGGTTTCACTATTGAGTTTGTCAAGTGCGTTTCAAAGTCTAGATGAGAAAACTTAAAAGCTCTTCATTTCAAAGATGACTCCAGCAAAACATCAAATGTGCTACATTTTTGAAAAGGAAATTTTAAACTCTATTGAAATATGCAAGAATACACAGGGTGTCTCACTGAAAAAAATAGTTTTCCATCAGTAACTATTGATCTCATTCGAAAATAATGAGTTTTTCACACGGTTATATTCTACGTAAAAAATGCTCTTAAAATGTTTTCATAGAAACAAGTAATTTTTGACAGGATGAAACTCAGAAACGATGATGATAGATATCGATATGCGGTTTCACTATTGAGTTTGTCATGAAATTTAACTCTCCGACACAGTCATCAGTTTCCATCTATCTAGTTTGAAACAAGGAGTTTCCCTTTGAATGTGTCCAATTTGGCCCAATCTGTGCATTTCTCCTGTGTGGCACACCTCCATCTAGAAGCTTCACAGCTTCATCGTGATTCCTGCATCGTCCTTTCTTGAAACAGCCAGTTGCACATTCCTGTATTCTAAATTCCATACGGATAACAGCGTATACTATTCCACCATCCTCAAGGACTGATTCCACCATCCTCCAAAGGCAAAAAACTTTGAGATCGTCCGTATAAAACATGTTACATTATGATATATTCATTAATTATTGACATGGTCGTAATTATTTATAAAATTCGTTCAATTCAATCCATCAATTCATTTTCATCTCAGTTTAAAATAATCAGTTTTCTCTACAAATAAGAGACTAACATTTTGATGCTACCATTTCCAATTCTTCATTCATTAACTTTCCTCAAATTTCAATACCTTCAAGATAATGGAATCATAACCCCCAACGATCGATCAGAAATGTATTCAAAATGTCAACCATATTCAAACTAATAAATAAAAAGGAATTGAAAAAAAATTGATGTGAGTAACGATGTAAAGCTGCGTGAAACTATTCGGAAGATGCTTCATAATTAAAACATTTTAGCTAATGATCATTTTTCTTTTGTATAATAGTGATCATAGTGATCATTTTCATTCCTCAGTTTATTTACTCCAAATCTTATGGTATCTATCCTGATAGAGGTATTCCATATGAATCTCCTACCATAACATTCAATATTGAAAGTTATCTTTTAGAAGGTTTACATGATGACGTTAATAGAATTATTGAGAAACCTAAACCGACCTTAACGGAGATTAACGAAAAATTGAGCGACAGCGGAAAAGCACAAGAGTCATGGCTGATTTATTTGAGTACATATAACTCTAATACTGTAGATAATTTCATTAGTCAATTAATATCCACGATTAAGTGCACACATTGCGGACACTTATCTTTAACCTTCGATCCTTTCTGGGATTTGTCACTCTCCATACCACAAAGAACTGGCCAATTGAGTTTATCACAGTGCTTGGATTTCTTCACAAGAGAGGTAACTTTGGATGGACATGAAAAACCGACGTGTTCAAGTTGCAAGGGAAGAAGAAAATGCACAAAGTCTCTATAGATCCATAAGTTTCCCTGTATTCTAGTCATTCATTTCAACATATTTTCTCTAACAGAAAGATTCAGAGGTAAGTTAAATGTTGCCATCGAATTATCTCTAGATGGATTATATATGAACAATTATGCAGCAGATAATGTGACTTCTTGTCGCTATAATCTATATGCACTTTCGAATCACAGTGGGTCTTTCTACAGCGGACATTATACAGCATTCTGCAGACATCCTTATACTAGCACGTGGCACGAAAACAATGATTCCGAGTGTCACCAATTTCACCTAAATCGCTTGTGAGTGGGATGCATACATTCTCTTTTATGAAAAGGAGGAAACGAGTTCGCCCCTTTGAGCGCTTTGAAAAGTTATTTTTGAACTGTTCATTTTAATGTCTTGAATTACGCAGAAAACTTGCTGGAATAATTTTTCTGTATAACTTACTGCACAACAATGTGGATGCTATGGAGGTGTTATCTCTTATAAATTTCTGTGTGCCTCATTTTAGAACTAGAAGTAGGTACGAAAACTGTTCACAGCCGACTGGCCAGAACCATTTGTAAATTTCAAAAGTCCTTACCTTCAATATCATTCACGGAACACCTCACAAACACTATAAGAACAAAACACGCAACTAATTGTATAAAATAATTAATTTCCATTTTTGAGCGGCAAGTAGAGCGTGGTCTATGTTTTCACTTATCGTCTTCGAGGATGCACTCGAGCAATTCTTCACTATACCGGTCACCATACGCGTAAACTTGAAGAAATTTCTTCAGTTTTCGAAAACGCTTCTCAGATTCACTTCTTCACGCATTGAAGTGAATCATTTGACACTCACGGATTCAACTGAGAGTAAAAACAAGAAGCATTGGAGAAATTTTAATCTTTCAATTTTTAGAGTGTCTATATCAGTATCAGAGGCGTGCCGACGACAGTTGCAGAGGGGTCAAAAACGAAATTAATCGATGGATACATTCAGTAGAAATTGGTGTTGCTTAGAGAGCTGACAAAGAGTCAGATTTTATTTTTGTGTGTGGAAAAGTCTTCTACAGTCTTCTTCAATAATTTTTTACACACAATCTACTTGGAGCTTTGTAGGAAAGATTGATTTTTTATTTGAAATATGAAGATCTGTGTTACTATGTTGAAATCAGCATAGAAACACATAAATGAATTTGAAATTTTGAATTCATTTATTGAATTAGGATTCCCTAATATACAGGTTACTAACTTAAAATATAATATAATCAACAACATTTATATAAATAATGCAACTTTATATACATACATAATTTGAAATGAACAAAAAGGAATTTGTCAATTTCCATCAGGAATATATTTTTACAGTTCGGTCTTGAAAATCTTTAATGATAGAGTAGATTTGATTGAAACAGGTAAATCATTGAATCGGACAAAACTTTCGAAAAATAAACTGCTCATACTACTTCTTGTATTGATAAATTGATGGATGTAGCGTTACTACCTGGTAGGAAATCATAATGAAGAAAAGAGAATTGAAACTTTATATGTTTTTACCACTTTTATTTTAACTAACGTTACTGCAGTTTCGTCCTATAAGTACGTATTCAAACTTATACATTATATAAGTTATATAAGTTTGAAAATATCCTTATAAATTGCAGTAATATTAGTTACACATAAAAGTGGTAAAAAACATAGAAAATTTCGATTCTCTTTTCTTCATTATTTCTTGTATTTGTTCTATTTATATGAATGTGACTGTTATGCCAAAAGAATGAGGGAATCTTCCAAAGAAAGGAAGGAAGTAATCAATTTGAAAATTAGTAACTCTATACATGGATGTGTAGATCATGCAAAAAAGTAATTTTCAGACAAAAACTGAAAGAAAGTCCTCCTGAAACAGCTACTTTCATATAAACATTGAATTACACGAAAGAAAAAAAATTCTTTTCAAACAAATACTTCTATTTGAACACTGAATTATACAGAAGCTACTTTTCTCTACTCAGTTTGTATTTCAAATAATTCACTTCAGAACGTCTATGATCAACAGTTCCGCTTCACTTTGAATATTGTACAAATGTTCTTTCTTTACTGGAACTTGATGATGATGCTGCTATATTTTGAAACAAGATAGATCATTTCTCCATATCTTCACCGGCAGCAGGAGGTTGCATATCTTAAGATCGAGAAGTGGTTTCGTATTGGTCTGAAAGTAACTAGGTTCAATTCAATGTCACAAAAATCCAGGCATCGGTTTTCCCCAGAAAAAAAATGTCTCCGAACCGGATATAATAATGTCGGGTCAGACAATTCCGCTTTCTGCTTCGATAAGTTTGTTGGGGGTTAAAATGAACACCAATAGGGCTTGACACAATCATTTTGCTGATATTGCAAAATCTGTTCCGAAACACCTCAGCAACTTTTGATACTTTATAAAGCTCACATCAGATCTTTCTTAGAGTATTGTTCTCATGTATGGAGCTCCGCCCCCAAACATACCCTGAAGCTGCTGGATTCCATCCAAAAAAGAGCCATGCGCCTGATTGGAGACGCGAACATCACTTGTAACCTTGATAGTCTGGAGCATCAAAGAAAGAATGGAGATTTTTCTCTATTCTGTAGATAGTTTCACGGGAAGTGTTAACATTTGATCCTATCAAGAGCGGTACATACGAGGGTTGCCTTTTATATTTCGGGTTTAGAGAACAGAAACAAATATTAATCATCGAAAATAATTTTATTGTTTGTCAAAATATTCCCTATGAAGATCTATACACTTTTGCATGCATTTGAACCAATTTTCGAAGCACTTTTGCCACTTTAATTGAGGTATCTCCAAAACATGCATTCTGAATGCAGCAACCGCTTCTTCAGATGTCGAAAAACGTTGACCTCTCAGTTTGTTTTTTATGTCGGGAATAAAAAGAAATCATTAGGTGCCAAATCAGTACTATACGGCGGATGACTCATCAAATCGATGTTTAAGGTGCATTGTCGTGGTGAAGAGTGATCCGTCTTGGGCGGTTGGTTATCCTGATTTCTTGGAAGAAAACTGGTAAACAAATGGTTGTGTACCAATCAAAATTGATTGTTATGCTTTTTTCTAATGGTACGGTTGCGACATGTCCAGTTTTTCCGAAAAAACAGGCGACCATGTGCTTGGAAGTGTTTCGTGCGCGAACAACTTTTGTTAGATTTGACTCTTCTTGAAACAGTCGACTGCTGTTTTCTTTCGGGCTCATAAGCGTAAATCCACGATTCATCACCTGTCACGATGTCATAGACGTGTTTCGAAGCACCGCGATCGTATTTTTTTAGCATTTCCTTCGACCAATCGACACGAGCCTTTTTTTGAGCGATTGACAAATTTTGTGGGATCCAACGCGAACAAAATTTTTTGATAGTCAAATTTTTATGCAATATTGAATGTATGCTGGTCCCACTAATGCCTAAGGTTGTCTCAACCTCACGATAGGTCACATGACGATCTTGCAATATCATTTCGCACACAGCATCAATGGTTTTCGAAACAACAACTGATTTTTGACGACCTTCACGAAATTCGTCTTGGAGTGAATTACAATCACGATTGAATTCACCATACTATCAATAAACACTGTCCTTGATGGAGCCTCATCGCCAAAAATTGAATTGAGTTCATCCATGCACTGTTGCTGAGTTAGTCCACATCGAAAGTTGTAAAAAATAATCGCACGAAAATGTTCATGATTTAATTCCATTTTTGGTCCGAGATGAATCTTTTAAGTTACTGTAAACAACACAAATAGTGGGCGTATGTCAAAACGTTCTGAGTAAGTTTAAGCTCAAAAATGTCCAACTTTACGATAGAGCTGTCAGTTGCCAAATTCAGAAACATAAAAGGCAACCTATCGTATCAGAAATACGCAACATACTGTGACTGCTCATCGTTTTGAGGATCAACTCAGTACACCTCGTACTTCACTGTTTAAAAACTCTTTCTTTTGGAGAACTGTGTTTATATACTGCCTAAGTACTTTGTTTTCAAATGAATTTAATTTCCAGCAATTCAAATTCAATATGAATCACAACTTTTACACATGCACCGCTCGAAGAGCACCTTAGGGATTTTTTTGTAGTACTTGTGTTTCATCTCAAGAAAATCAAGATTATTGCTAAATAGAACATTCTTAACATAGTTCAAAAACTTACGAACTATACAATTTGAACTCACAAAATTCAGATCACCTTTTGTTCAATTCACACCCAAAGTAGTTCAACAAAATTCTGAGAGCATATTCATTACATAATTCATTAGGTGAATTGAATACTTTTCTAATAATGAAAGCACTCTGATTGAGTGAGAATTCAGACTGAACTAGTAAATAACTATATGTGTGCAACGATAGTATTAATTCATTTCGATAATGATGGTAAAATGTGAGAACTGACTTATGATTGGTTTGTGCACTTCAGTAATTGTTATTTGAGCTAATAAGAAAATCTTTCGATTTTATTTTCATATGAGATCGTAGGTTTCATTCGAACATTGAGTTTTCATCCATAAGGCAAAATAACAGTAAAACCTTCTGAAGGTTCATTTCCGATTTGGTGACGAAACACCATCAAAACGATACTGAACTGTTTCGAAAATTTCCAACAAAAGGAAGTGAATTTTCAGCATACATATACAGGGTGAATATATACATACGTGATGGATAATTGGAAAACATCGAAACGTTGAACGAAAGTTTTTTTTGTGAAGAAAATCAGAGTTGTTCTATATAATTCTTTCAACAACCGCATATTCGAAATTTGCCCAATTTCTCGTATGCCCCCTTACTGCAATAGTTCCAAAGAAAAAAATCAGAAACCATCATGTTGTTCCGTACATTTCCGGGATTTCCTAAAAAAACTTCCATTGATCTTCTTATTAGAGCTGTGAATCATTTCTTGTTTCCTCGCACGTAACCCTGATAATTCCGATGGGTTCTCATCCACTATTTATTTTAGGGGTCTTTGAATACCATGGTAGTCGACGTAGTCTACTGGAAAGAAGTCGGGCGATTTTACACGTAAGTTATTATGCCCAGTCTTGCCTATCCAACGATTTGGAAAGTTTCGTTTCGGAAACTCTTTCAATATCAGCCTATCATGAGGTTCGGCTTCAACATGTTGGAAATATATTTCTCCAATATCAATACCGACAAAACGGGTAAAATATTTGCAAAAAGTTCAAATAAATGTCACCAGCTAGCAGTTGTGGAAACATATGCAGCTCAATCGGTTGTTGTTAACAACTCTATACCAATCATTACCTGCAAACTCAATTCATGAAAGATACTATCTCCGGACGAACCAATTCTGTTAGAATTGAATAGAGATATTGCTTTAAACATTATCACCGTGTTTAGTGGATTGATGATGATCGGTAACCAAACCCTATTATTTCATATTATATAGCAATTCGAGTGATTCCTTCTGCTACATGTAGCCTCTGAACTTCGTGTATTTGAAATATGTGAAGATTGATTTGAAAGAGTTTAATTTTTTTGATAGAAAACTTTTGGCTTTCTACCTACTCCTCCATACTCTAAATCCATACATTAAATGTGGGAAACTTTCAAGAAAGAAACAAAACAATCACTTTCGGAATGAACTCTTCACAAAAATGTAGGACACTTTTGAAAGAAAAAATATAAAGTAGAAAGCCAAACGTTTTCGTTAGCCAACTATGACCAATTATTGCTGGCATAAACCATCAAAATATTCTTTAAGATCGGTGATAGACTTCAAGTCAACAATTACAAATCCATTTCACTGATTTCAAATAGAGCAAAATTTATTGAAAAAA